CCCTTAGAACTGAAGGTAAGAGAGTAGAGAATTGTAACAACTTCTGTTATTCAAAACAGTGTTATGAACAGTACTAGGTAATGTAAATGTATGTCAAGTATAGAATGGTGAGTAGGGAAGGAAAGTATACAAGGGGTCAGAGAGAGGATTACACCTTAGGAATGGTTGTACATGGACATTGTTGTAAGTATGTACTTACTAATTGTTACTTGTGCTACAGAGTGGGAAGAAGTATGTGAATGTATTGAATTTATTCAAGAAATTGTTCAGTATTAGAAACAATACAGATACACAAATACACATTCAAAAAGGAAGGTGAACAAAAAGAAAAAGGAGGACAACAAAGGAAAGGCAACTGTAGAGAAGTAGAAGGGAGACAAAAAAGTTAGGGAGAGAGAGATAAGTATCTATTATAGTACTTATTATGAAATGGACTGGCTACTTACACTGTATGTTGAAGGCAGAAGAGGACACTAAAGTCAGCTGTATAGTATAGTATAGTATAGTATAGTATAGTATATTACTAGTATAAAACACTAGGGCTGGGTTGTATTGTTACAGGATCTGAGCTTAATACAGGCATTACAACAACTGATTAGAGAGACAAGTGTAGCAATGTTTATTGTCTACCTACATAGTTGTAGACAGTATGCCTGCTGGCAAGCAGAGGACTGGAATGGAGGGAACAAAAGTAACAAGTACTACTATTCACAGGGTAGAGGGTTGAGGGTAGGAAGAGGTCAAAGGCAAGAAGTGACAAGAGTGAGTGTAATACTCAAGATTTAAGTAAAGTCCTATGTAATATTCAACCATTACATAAGCTAAGTAACTCACTTTATATTTACTATACTATTATAATATACATGTTACATTTGAGTATTATACATTTATTAAGTTTATAACCTCTCAAACAGAGCTTCTATTTATTATAAACATTAATAGAACTTTAGTACACATTATAAGTGTAGAAAATGCTTTTATATTATATTATATAGTAGACACAAGTCTTTTTCTTCAAGTAAAATACTATAATAAAGTATTTACTCTTAATATATTTTTGTTAAAATATATTTACTCAATATTTAAAGCTATTATAATACATATACTGTATTATATTTATTAATAATACTTTTAGAACCTTTATAAGATGTATAAGAATTATCTTTACTTTATAACCTTATTAAAATTCTTACAGTTACTATATAATTATAAATAATGTGTATTCTACTATATAAGAACTATAAAGCTATATAAGAAAATGGACTTTTCCCTAACATAGTAAGTACTTGACCAAGATGTAAATTCAGAGCCCAGCCACTCAATATATATATTTGTTTAATATCTTTAGATCCAGTTTCATGAGGGTTTCAGCCAGACTATGGATGGTGTGCCTTACCTAGTCTTAATATTTCAATATGCTCCTAGTGGAGACTTGAAGGAATGAATAGATTGAAAAACATTGAGCAAAGACAATAAAAAGTTTATAATTTGGTAGGTGGCCTAAAGTACTAGGATTGATATAATCTGATAAGTTTCATAAGAGGTTCTTTGTAAGGGTTAAGACATATACACAGAATGAACCTTGTGCACAGTGACATCAAGTGAGTGCACAGCAGTATTCTGAGTTCATAGAACATATCTTGAACCTGTACTGCTCAGACCACAAAATATTCTACTCATGAGCTCTAAAGGTAAAGACATAACAGAACACAATGTTAAACTGATAGATTTTGGATTGTAAGGCTCCAGACTCGGTTTGAGTCTTATAATTCTATTAACTTATTGTCTTCTCAGGACAAAAAGTATACCAAAAGGCTGTACTGTAGTACAGGTCAGTGGAATACATGCAGAAATTCATTATATGGCACTAGAGGGTTGGGATTGTATACTGAATTATTCTATGGACATGTGGGCTCTTGGGTGAGCATAGTCTTGTTCAAGATTCAATAAATGTTTTGTTAAACACACATTCAGGGTCACACTTTATGAGATGTACAATGGGATGACAAGTTTCCCATTTACACAACCTTAGTAAGCAGTGAATTTCTAGTGTGGATGAAGTGTCTGACTCTCTTCACGTGCATAAATTTCACAGTCGTGATGATCACCGCCCATTAGATGTTATTGCAGAAGCTATACTTAGTCTAAAGGATGTCTGGAATAAACCCGGTTGGAGCGACAGTGGACAGGGTATATACATTAATTGCAATTTTACTTTGTTTCTGGCTAACATGATCCTCACACAGCTAAATCTCTGTGTCAAAAGATGCTTGAGACGAATTATGAATTAAGGATAAGCGTCAAAGATGCGTTATCGCATCCGGTGAGTTGTATCCTTCAGTAATACTGTAGTATTATAATGACAGTACTGAATTGTACAAATACTAGTGGTTAAAGGTGTAGAACTCAATTTTTTTGTAAGTATTTGTCAGTTTGAAGTACCGTATCCAACTAGGTATTTAATGTGCCCAGGTAAAAGTAGGACTTCATTGGTACACGCAGATCCCTTCAGGAAGTTATATGATGTATCAAAACTACTATAAACATGACATGGCATCCGTCTAGGATCTTCTCTCGTGGCTCGATCACTTTGACTTGAGTAGCACGCGTAGTGGCGTATGTCATCCCTAACCAAGACAACAGACTTCTCAGATCAGACAGCGACAATTTGAACAAACGGACAAGCCAGAGACCCGCTGATATCGGACTTTTGCTCCTATGTCTCCTGTAGACCTGCCCCCCTACAGTTGAAAATGTCTTATTGCATAACGTCGGGAGAGGGCTAAACCCAATGCATTATACAATTTATGCATTATGACAATACATTTTGGCTGAGGACCTGAATTTTGGTCTGGCCAAAAGTCTATGCATTATGCCATTTATGCATTATGATGTGATGCAATAAGACATTTTCAACTGTATTAAAGTGTCCTGAGAACATGCCGAGACCTTCTTATCATATGTATATGTCAGATATGTCCGATCGTCTATTTGCAATGTGGTTGTGAATGGATGACACTGGACGGAAATGCAATCACGTTGAAAAGACTCCTGATGATAAAAATAATATCTATCCACGTCCAAACGTCATTATTCTCATCAGAACCACACTTTGTGAGCGATCGTCTATTTGTGTTTGTGAATGAATGACAAGGAACGGAAATGCAAGCACCTTGGAAGGACGCCTATTAGTAAACAAAAATTCGCTGTCCACGTCGTAGTGTCTTTCTCCTCATCAGAACCACGCTTTGTGAGTCGATATCTGTCCGAGTTTAGTATGTCTCTACGTCCTAGATGGTAGGTGGGAAGAAACAAAGAGAAAAGTCTGAATATATGTGCTTGGTACGCAAAAATGGGTGAATTGGAATCGAATCCACTTTCACAATATGTGTCCACCCTAGATGTATTGTTCCGTTGCACTTGTACATGCTTGAGAGAAAATCGGTACATTAGTAGGCCATCCGCGCTCCAGTCAGTCCTCGAGGGCTAGTACTTCTTGACGAAGTAGATAGAGTAGATGTTTATTCCCTCGAGTTCCACTTTCTGCACCTGGTTATTCTTGATCGCGAAGCACAAGAACATCCTTTCCCTCCAATGCGTTAATTGGTCCACGGCTTCTCATCTGTATCCACACGTCTCTTCATATGTGGTAAAGCACACAATGTTCATGCACAACATATCATGAGGTTCTTAACATTCTGAGTCTGTACGCTCTCACATTCTTCTGACCTTTGTCAACGGACTTGGATATGAGTGGCAACGCATTGAATACTGATAAGGATTTCTTGACTCCGGCACACGACTACGCGGACCCACAATAATATTCGGTAGGATTGGGACTGGACTCAAGGATGAGTTTAGGAGACGATCTCGGTATCGCGTCGGGATTGATATCCGGCGGTACTTTGGGTCGTCATGAAGCCGATAGGGGAGTTGAACTATAATCCAATATTTGCGGGATGCGGGGAGAGCTAGTGTTCACATCGTTGTAAAATAAGAGGAGATAATAGTAGTAATCTGGATTCTGGAGAGGATTTTCACTCGGAGGCAGAATGAAATCGCGAGCCAACGTCCCGTGACGTGAGCGAGTCTGGCGTGGGATCGTCTTCCGGCATTATTTATATTTATGAAATCGCGGGTGGGTCTTCCTGAGTTTAGCCAGTGACTCTCTTGCCACCTGGCCTGCCTGAGAACTGACAGCTACGGAAACGTGCATGTCCTTAATGTCCTTAATGACCGTGCACAAATCTACGAATCTCTTTCATTGCCTCGGGCGGACTCTGTTGCTAACGGACGAATGTTCTCAAGTATGTCGACGCGGGATAATTACTAGTGCTAGAGAAGAGCGAGCTATGTTGCCCTTGGCTGTCTCACGCGGAACCGCGGAGTGTATCATTTATTTGCGAATGGCTGCTCGAAATGTAAGGTTGCACTCGAGAAGACGGCTAGAGTTTGTCCGAGATTCAGCGAAGACATGCTGACCTCATGGAGGTGTGTGCTGAGTGGCAGGCACGCGGGCAAGAATAGGCAGGACGGTTACCCGCTCTTTCTATTCACAGCTTATCGTCTTCGCCTCCCCGGGCCTCGCATCCTCCGTCGTCGCGCCACTGGTACTGTGACTCCTGTCGTGCTACCAGATGATCTGCTACTATGTCCGCTGCGCAACGCGCTTGGACAGGCCGGTAATAAAGACCAGAAGACGAGTGTGGGGATAAAAGGGCGAGAAATGGCACGCGAATGGCGATCGTGTGGGAGAGGCGCGGTGGATGGACGTGGAACAGAATTGTAACTGACACCGGCATACATTCGCTGCTTCTGTCCCTTCCCGTCCTTCCCTCCTGCAATTCCTGCTGCTCCTGCTCGCTGGCAGATCCCGAGGACGCGTCTCTTTGTCGCCCTCTTATACTCTCTCCCGCTCCAGTCACACATGTCCCTTCGTCCCATCCCACCCTCAGCCCTTCCTTCATTTCATCCCGCCGTTCTCTCAATTCGCTCATAAGGCAACCTATCGCCATCACCATCGCCACCCGCAGCCGCAAATGTCGGCGATCTACCCTTCATCACCAGCACCATCGGTCGCTGCAGCAGGCCTGTCGGCCACAAATGCTTCGCTCACCGACCCGTCAACCTGGGCTCCACCTGGCGAATCTGCATCTGATCTCTGGGAAGAGCGTTCAAACTTTGTCGGCGTAGTCCTTTCCAGCGTCGCATACGGCGTCCACCTCACCCTCTATCTTTTCGTCCTACACCATCTCATAAAGCACCCTTCGCAGCGCGTCGGCACAGGTGCACGCGCTCGCGTTTCCTGGGGACTCGTCGCATATATCACCTGGAACTTCATACTCGGCACGTTCGGCATCGCAGCCGAAGCACGCTTCAATGAATTCACCTACGTCGACTTTCGTAACTTCCCTGGTGGACCAAATGCCTTTGTCAGCTCGCAATATGGCGACTTAATCAATATGTTCGGGACGGCTGCATACATTGTTCTCAACTGGTCTGCGGATGCGCTTGTGGTACGTCACTTGTCACTTTCCGTTTCGTTTCTTTGCAAAGAAAGAGTGACTTATTTTTATCTTGTGAAAATGCGTGTTTCATTTACGGCGTCTGGACCTTTGTCCGTTTGCACGCGCCCGCAGATCTACCGTTTCTGGTTGATCTACAACTTTAACTATTGGATCGCATTGTTACCATGCATGCTCCTCCTCGGCTCATTCAGTACGTATTTGCCTGATTCCTGTCACTTCAGACGTCAGAGAGAGAAGCGTTGTTCCTGACTGACTGACTTGTCTTGTCTTGCAATTTCAGCGATGGGCGTGATCCTCCTTTTCCAACTAACTCAACCCAATGCGAATCTATGGACGAAAACAACTGTCAACTTTGGTATACCCTACTGGTCCATATCTGCTTCACTCAACATCCTCGTCACCTCCCTCATCGTCGGGAAACTCTTCCTCATTCGTCGACGTACACGTGCTGTACTCTCCACCCACCACTCACGGACATACACCTCCGTAGCAGCCATGCTCGTCGAATCCGCCGCTCTCTACTCAATCACCGCACTCATCTTCATCGTCACCTACGCCCGAAACAGTAACGTACAAAACCTCGTACTACCCGTTTTGGGACAAGTACAAGCTGTCAGTCCGTTATTAATCATGTGGCGCGTTGCGAGAGGGCAAGCGATTTCGAGAGAAGCGATGTTGACTAGTGGAAGTGCGATGACGCCTAGTAAGCTTTCGTGGAGGAGGAGTTATACGATTTCGACTGCTGGTGGAGGGAATGGGAGTGCGACGAGTGGGTTAGGAAGTGCGGGGATGTTGGATTCAACTTTCAGTGCTCCTGAGAGTAGAGCGCCGTTACCACCTCGTGCGGCGAGTGTGTACCTCCCTCCGTTATCGAAGTTTAAGCGAGGTTCGGGAGGGAAGGGGGAGATGGACGAGGCGGATTCGGAGATGGAGGGTGAGTGGGAGCTTGGGGAGCGGACAAGTGATAATGGAGATGAGAAGGTGAGGGAAAAGGAGAGGAAGGGAGAGAGGAAGGTAAGAGGTGTGGAAGTTGTTGTGGAACGACAGGTTGAGACGTGGGAGAGCCCACCGCACGCTCTCTGAACTCCGTTCTTTGCCTCTTCCCTTTTACTCATCGTCCTGGTTTTCTTCACTACTGGTTCTGACATCTCACTTTTTCCCGAGGCTCTCCTTACCTCTCACCCGGGTCTCCATCCTTCTTTGTTTTCCTCAACTGCGCCGCAACGCGCAGTGATTATTCTTGAGAAGAAAACTTTGAAACGACCTGAATCTGAACGAAATGTACCTCGAAAATCTACTCGTCATCTTCTGTATACCTCTTCTCCCTTCCCTTCCTTTGTTGCTTTCCTTGCATTGTGTTGTTCAACTATCTGTGCTCCTTGTATTCCCCGTCATCGTGTAAATCCGTCTGTATTCCTTGCCTTGTACGCTCCTTAGTCTTACTTCATATCTCTGTTTATTGCAATAAATTTAATACTTGACTTTGACCAATTTCCGCGTCGGTAAAAAAAAACACATACTCCTTTCTCATTCGTGTAATGCATACACTGAGCTTGTTCCGTGTTCTTCAAGTTTGGCACCCCCCGACTATCATTGTATCAAAATCAATACCCCTTCTCGCATTGATAGTATGTCTATTACTATCTATAACCTGTTTTGCTCACAAGGCTTGAGTTCGACCCGTTAACGTTAGTGCATTTTAAGCTTGTTCCGTCCAATATAGCGAAAGTGAGTGTTTTATGAATGAATGTATGTGAGATAATAATATTAATAACCTGAATATATGCGCCGACCTGACTTGTTCCCGTTTTAATTTCCCATACATTACCAATACTCCCATGCTAAACCGTCCCCGTCTAAAGCCGTTCCGTTCCGCTCTTACCTGGATGGCACGGTCCACTTTCCGTCCGCACACTTGAGATGAGAATAGAATGTGATAAATTTGAATATTCTTGCTGAAAAAATAGTTTGGAGAGAGCTACTTCGTCTTCTTTCGTGCCTAGGTAGAGTTCTCTTGAGGTCCCCTGTTTCATAGTTCACTCCACTCCTTTTTCCGTTTACAACGTAAGCAATGTTTGTTTATTTTTAGAACTTTATCAGAAGTAAGACATTTTGTTATCACTTCGATGTGTAGTATTAAAAAGCCTTTATCTATATTTTTAAAACATAGTAATTAAAAGTTACAGGCGTCCTCGCTTACTAAAAAGGGAAAAGAAAACTGTAGGCTTTATGCTTTTGTTTTTGGATTACTAGGACAATGATATCAGTTAGTAAAGTGCATTTTAGTCAAAAATAAGTTCTATGTGTTACGTAAAGCAAATGAAACATAAATATCTCAATTTCTAATTAAATGTATATACTATGTTGCCCAACGTGGAAATATCTTTAGTATTTACCGATACTGTATCTTGAATCAGGGGTGGGAATTATTCAGACACCGTCTTGCCCTAGATAGAGGGAGTGGTCACAGGATTTCGGCTCGGTTGTCGTACGTACTTACCTTTCTCCAGATGACTTCTATTATCTCCTCTTATTTTGCACCGATGTGAGTGCCTTACAATTAGAGTCCGATATCTAGCTGACAACGATCCAAATTACCGCCGGATATCAATGAGAAAACAGACCTAAGTCTTGATGTGGCACCGAAATTTACTCCAATTTACTCCGATTTACTCCAATTTATTCTCGTATCCAATCCTAAACACGCTTCGAATGTGAATCTGAGACCGAATATTCTTGAACCGGCTTCAAGGATGACCTTATCAGTATTCAATGTGTTATTATTACTGTCTAAAGCTCCATGCCAAACAAAATCGAAGCAACGAGAGTCAGAGGAATGTGAGAGCTAGATATTTTAAGCCTCATAGTACTGTAACATTGAGCATGACCTACTCTTGACTTTTGTGACTGGTGACTAGAATAAAAGGAAGTAAGGAGGAAGGAACCTATCTTGGTGAAATCAGAATCCGTGTTATTTTTTAAACAGAATAATAATAATAATAATAAACAAAAAAAATTAACTATTTATGATTCTTCTCTTGTTCTCCACTTGACTGCATTCAATGTGAACACACTGAGTGCCTATCACTGTTCTGCTAATTCTCCCCAAATCACACAAGCAAAGCCAAACATTCACCTGGAGCTATCACACATATGTATGGCAGAAATAAATTCGACTTCAGCACCAGACGTTGGGTAGAATTGTATCCCAAAAATGTACCCCTGTGGACATTCCTGAAATCACTTCATATTTTAAGTGCATATACACAGACTTTCTTTTTAAACTCATTCTGTCTTTCCCACGTAGAGCGTAAACACTATGCTAAACTAGAACTTCGGCTAGCAAATCATGGTTCTAATGAGAATAATGACTCTAGGACGTAGACAGGAAATAGTTTTCGGAGATTGCCTTCCAGAGTGATTGCATTTCTGTCCAATATCATTCATTCACAAATACAAATAGACAATCGGACGTATCCGGGCATATCCATATGGCAAGAAGTTCTCGGCATATTCGAGGACACTTTGACAGAAACGTGGGGACAGAAGCCGATACCAGCAGGTCTACGTCTGGTTTATTTGCTACCATCTGATTCGAGAGTCCAGCTGACTTATTAGGAATGACATACACTACTATGCACGCTACTCAAATCAATTCGAAGGAGTCAGGAAAGAGGATCTAGATGAACGCCATGCAATGCTCATGTTATCTTTGACGCAGCCCCTTGGATGGATCTGCATGTCTTAGCACGCTTCAAGCTTGGCTTATCAAATACCAAATTAGAAACAGACAACACAAACAATGAATGTCAAGAAGAGAGTAATTAAGAAAGAAGGCTTCCGATTGAACATGTAGCATTTAACTTCAAACTGTCGAATACAGGAAATTCAAATTCTATTCCTTTAACCACTATCATTTGTACATTTGAGTGACATAACAGTACGACTAGTGAAGAGAACTACTTACTGGATGGTTTAACGCTTTTTCAACGCTTATTCTTGATGCAAACTTCGTGTCGAGCATCTGCTGGCACAGAGACTTAGCTGTACAAAGACCTTGTCAACCAAAGCAAAGCACTGATTGTACGTTCACATACCCTGTTCGTAATTGCTCCAGCCAGGTTGATTCCAAACTTCCTTCAGACGAAGTATTGCCTGTGCAACTTCATCTTTCGAACGCTTATCATTTGGACTGTGAAATTTGCACGCATGAACAAAGTTAGCCATTTCACCCAACACTAAAAAATCCACTGCTTACTGAGGTTTGATTATTGGGAAACTCTCCAATCCATTGTACATTTCATAACATGTGACTCTGTAAGTGCATTTAAGAGAATAGTTCCCCCCACAGTCGTAAATGAGACTGCACTTACCCAAGCGTCCACACATCCAATGCATAACTTAGATCACAGTCCAAACCCTCTGGTGGCATATAATGTTCTTCTATGCACAGACTATTGACTTTGACTACACTTTTGTCTTTTGGAATGCGTTCTGTCCTAAGAGAGAAAGTTATTTTAATAGAAACGTGGAGCTCATCTAGATTCTGAAGACCTACAATCTAAAATTTGTCAGTTTTATATCATTTTCCACTACGTCTTTATCTACGGGATTCAGAAACAGAATATTTGTCGGCCTGAGTGGAGCAAGTTCGACTTGTCTTCTATGAAATTCAGACAGTTCATGTATACTCACGTTAGATTTCCGTGTACAAGGTTCATGTTATGCAAGTGTTTCAACCCTTTCAATGATCCTCTTGCGAGGAATTATCAGCTTTTATCAACTTCAATAACTGAGAAATCTACTGGTCACCTACCGTATTACAACCTTTTTATTGTCCTCGTTTAATGTTTTTCTCTCTATCCTTCCTTTCAAGTCGCCCCCGGCAGCATATTGGAATATTGAAACTACATAAGGCACACTTTCCATAGTCCGATTGAAACCCTCATGAAACTGAATCTAAAGATATTACATGAATACTAAACTTCTCACGAGTGCCGTCAAAACGCTTACTATATTCGGATGACCACTAACTTCTCTCGACCGCCGCAACTCTTTTTCGGCCTCCTTCTTTTCCCGAGGATCTGAGGCTATTACACGTTTAAAAGCTACGACTCCAAGTTTTGAATGGTTGCCTCTCTGATGCCATGAAGAAAAGGAAGCAAGGGTTCATCAAAACGAATGCTGCAGACGTTTGAGCTACATTGCACAATGCACTCACCCAAACTGTGCCTCCGCCTAGTTTTACCAGGTCAGTTACCTCAGCATTCTGATCTGACTGTTTCTTTCCATGTCTGTTTCTCTCTGTACCTTCGGCTGTTTCACGTTCCCGTGCAAACCCGCCTTTTGTTGTGTGCACTTTGCCAGTTCCACCTGTCCTTGTTGGTTCGGTCCTTGTCTTGACTGTTTTATGGACATTTGGCCTGACTACTCCTATAACTTTTGGCTTCTGTCCTACTTTTGCACCTGCACTAGTAGTTCCGCTCCTGCTAGTTCTGGTTTCCCCGCTTGCTTTAGTTGTTCTGCTTGGTTTAGCTGCCTCGCTTTCTTCACCGGTTCCGCTTGTTTTAGTTGTTCCGCTTTCCTCAGTTGTTCTGCTTGTTTTGGTCGTTCTGCTCGTAGCCGTTCCTTTGCTTTGCATTCTGGAATGCCTTTTCGGCCGTTTTCGTGATCCCATCATCAGCATTGCAAGCTGCCTGAGTCGAGAGGGTTTCGATGCAGTCGATCCTGAATGTTTGCTACCTGCGTACTTGTCAGACTTTACCTTCCGTTGGCTATGAGCGGGCCTTTCAATGTGTCTTCGGCGATTGTGATAGTGGCTTGGTTGACTCCGCTTATCTTTTTGATTTATTTTAGTCGGTTCAGGTGCAAATTTGACGTGCGTCGTGTTGTCTGCACCTTCTGAATGCATTGTAGGTTCCCTCTGCTCATTTTGGCCAGAAGTTGTACCCTTCTTTTGATGACGCGGCGAGGCTGAACGCTTCCACATACTTCGTCAGCTTCGCAAGGTAGTAGCCTACGCTCAGCTTAATGGCACATAGGATGGCTGTCTCTGACTCAGTGGAATGCTATGTATATGTGATGATTGGATGGATTGAGGTAGGTTGGCAAATATATATGATCATAAGGGCTACATTAAACGACCAACTTTGGAGTTTACGTCTCATGCAAACATCCGTTCTCATCTATAAATATCCCAGGATAAATAAGCAGTACAGACTGCAAAGTGTGACTGATGGAACATCTGAAACATGTATACTTTGCAAAGATCCAGCAATGAGAAGGTAGCTGAGCTAATTTGCATTACAGTGGGCCACTTCAAGATATGAGCAACAAACCTATTGAAATAAACTGCATGACTCAGAGACTTGCTTTAGGACAGGTTTTAGTATGTGGAGAAAATATATTCAGATATCAAACAGTAAATGTATTCATTATGCATGGCAATTCTTAAATGCAAATGTACAATTCACTGACCCAGAGAGACAATAATATATAGAATCACTTCCAAGGTTGAATTAAACGGATTTGGGGGTTCATAAATATTCTGTAACGACCCGTGATTACATAACTTTATGTCACGTGAGCAAATACATCGCAGCTGGCGCAAACAGATTGATTGGCAATGGAGCGATCCTTTCTTAAAGCCACCTTGCATCGGATAACGCATCTGATTCGATTGAAACCCAGAATATGTCAGCTTGGCATGCGTGAGTCTTCTTGCCTTTTCCACCGAGACAGTTTACACACTCGACATGCATGTTGGTGCTAATTCATCAACAAAGAACGGTAATTTAAAGGCGGGCATCGCTTTCCTTCAATAAAATTTCATGAATTCAACATAGTAGGTGCGATCTTGCAGTAACACATTCGCGTTGTATAAATACCAAACTGTGTCTTTCAAGATTACTTGTCAGTGTACAATTGTAACTCTTCTTTGATGAATCTTGCCATACTTAACAAGGGTTGTGAAGTAGTCTTGCAGTCATTTCCACTACATACTGAATGTATGCAGTGCTTACCAAAGATGTTTCAATGTTTGTGACTTTACTCACCTGCCGCTTCTGCTTTTCTGAGCTTTCAAGCGGAGATCTGCCACTGAGATCAAATATGGTCCAAAACAACTTGAATTGAATGGAAATCACTTTCGCTTATCTCTGTCTTCTCAAGGCATAATCTTCTGGTGCAGAGACAATGTTCTCATTTGCAGTGCTTGTTCTCGTAGTCGCGAATGGTGCGTAGTACACTCAAAAATATGTCCATACCAAATACTAAAGAATGCTCCGTTGCAAGTTGTCTGTGCACAAGTGTCAACGGCTACGATTGTTAATGTCGGCTTTCCAGCAGAAACTTATCAGGGTGGACAGGTCATTGGCACCGGCGCAGACGGCACAACATTCATAATCTCCGGGACAGACATCCTTGAAAATCCATATACCGGTATGTTTTTACTATCTCGTCACTGTACATTATGTGCTTCCATTGACACTCACCAACATCTTCAGCGACGGTTGTTCAAGACGCAACACACATGTCCAAGGCTAGCTCATGGGACACAGAGGTTGCAGAGCCACCATATGGCTTACCACCGTACGAACTACGATGCGGCATTTCGCAAAATACGGCTATCTGCACCGAAACCATTCAACAATATTCGACTACGTACGCGGTGAGAATAAGCGCTACTCGTATTTTGGTCAGTCCGGGACCCACAGCGAGCAGCTCGATGAGAACTGGAACGCCCAGTAAAATATTATTATTGATGATACCCGCTTTCCTGATGGTGTTGAGTGTCTTCTGAATGCAATTATTGTTGACCACTGTTGTAGTGCGAATATTGCCAAGCCATCTCTGCTATGTATATTTAGGATTCTAGGATGGCTAGATCGTTTTTTCGATACACAAGCGGAGATCCGCAGCTGAGATCCAATATGCACCGTATGGGCCACGGTCCACGGACATATATTCGTTTAATACCCGCCATCTTGGCCAAGTCCGCCCTCCTGTCATGGTCGCAACCTCATCCTCTTTGTTGATCACGCATTAAAGGAACTCAAAGTCATTCTCCCCTGGTGTGGAGACGAAATGATCTCATTCGCAGTGCTTGTTCTCGCGATCGTGAATAGTGTGTACATGAAAGCTACATCCAGATTGAATACTGAATGCTTCCCTGTTTGAAGTTGCCCATGCACAGGTGTCCACGGCCACTATAGCTGATGTCGGATTTCCAGTAAATTACCAAGGTGGAATAGTCATTGGCACGGGCGCGGAGGGCACGACGTTTATACTTTCTGGGACAGACCTGATCGATAGGCCGTATACCAGTATGCGCAAAATTAGCCTATCGTAGTACAAACTTCACTTTCATTGACACGTTCTGACGTCTCCAGTGACGGTTGCTCAGGATGCGACTCACATTTCCATGGGTAGCGCGTGGGACGCGGTCGTTGCAATGCCACCGTACAACTTACCACCATACGAAATACGATGCGGCCTGTCGCAGAGCGTGGCTATCTGCACCGTGAATATTGAACAGTTTTCGACCCATTACACTGAGAGGATGAGCGCTACTCGTGTATTGGTAAGTCCCGGACCTACAGCGAGCAGCTCGACGAGAACTGGACTTCCTGGTAGAATGTTAATTTTCGGGATCCCTGCTTTTCTGGCATTGTTGAGCCTCTGGACACCACAGTTAACTGCTGTCATATTGTAAAATACCAAAACTTGCCCGTCACGTTTCTTCAAGGAATCAAACTAAATGCGTCCGTTCTCCAACTAGTCGCGAACAAAGTTGAAGTTCTTCGTTGGATGTGACAATTATTGGCACAGCATCAGTGGGCTTGACAGTACTTAATATAAGTTTCTGATATATGTCAAAATATTGTTGGTACTAGTCTGCATCTGGTGTGCCAAGCCAAAAGCCGCCCTGATTGTTGATGAGAAAGAATCACATTGAGGCTGTGCAGTCTTAGGTTCGGGCAATGCGCCCCGTAGAGGTCTTCACTCTTCAACTTTTCTCCAACGACTTCTGCTGAACATAAATTTTTATTTATAAATTTTTCAGTTTATTCATTTATTCATAGCTTTAATTAGGCGACTGTGGGCTGCACTTGAAGGCCATTCTCCGGTTGTGATAATTCTCATTTCAGATGCAATACCAGCATGCGTTGACAGGACTTCATTTGCGGAGATCCATAGCTGAGATCAATCGTTTTCATGGAATTCTATAACAAGATAAAAACAGCAATTGGATAAAAGCCTCATTTGTTAGACGCCTCAGGCACACGGCAGTCGGCGCCCCCCAGCCGTGAGTCGTCTTCGACACCTACGCAAGAGTACTGTAACGTGATCCCTCTTTTCAATTTTTTTCAAGATATCCCTCTTTTCAATTTTTGCATTTGCACACCATCCATAGTACCTGACACCACCAAAAAATTCAAGAAAGTGCATTTGTACTATAGAAAACATATTATGTCTTTTTTTCTGAAAAAAAATCAATGAAGGAATTAAAAATTGGTAAATACCACTTTTTTCCAATGTTCAATTATAATTAGCTCTGTTAATTTTATTAGTGCACTTCTTGTTACAATTATACTATGTATTTCTTATGTATATACAAGAGTACTCTTAGTATAATTTCTAAGTAGTA